AGTGGCAAATAGCTGGCCAACTTTGGTGATACGTTCGCTGAGTGCACGTATCCCCGAGGAGAGACAGAAGTTTTCGAAAAGTTCTTAAAGCCCGGCTTAGAGCCCGGCTCATTGTCCGTGAGTCATGTGGTCGAGGTGGGTTGCAAGTTGCGGGTGCAACGCCTTGCATGCCAAGCAGCAACACCCGGCCTCAGAATGCGAGGCACGAACGAGATGTGCTCAAAACGGGCGATGATGGATTGTACAGACTACAGACTACAGACCTGGCCAAAGCTCACCCGTTTCCTCCCTTCTTCTTCCTTTCAGGCCCATGTGGTCACGGCCTTTGAGCAATCGCTGTCCAACATGACCAACCGACTGCAGCAATTGACGGCGACGGCGGAGCGCAAGGATGGCGAGCTGACGGACATGCGGCAGACCATCGAGTTGCTGAGGAAGCAGTCCATCCAGGCGGGCCTGACCACGGCGCACATGCAGAGCATGGGTGTCCAGACCCAGGGTCAAGGTCAGGGTCAGGGTCAGCCGGGTTCAGACCAGAAGCCACCGCAGTCGGGGGCTCCCAACGCCCTGGTAACACTGGCAACAATGGCACCATGACCCTGGGAATGCAGCGACAGCACAGCACCGACTCCATGTGCTCCCTGAACTCCATCAGTTCCGGGTGCTCGGCGGCGCAGGACAAGAACAAGGCGAACAAGAAGAAGGGCTGGCTGAGGAGCAGCTTCACCAAGGCCTTCTCCCGCAATGCCAAGATCTCCAAGACGAGTCGTCATGTGGGGCATCACCATCACCACAGCAATCACTCACATCAGGAGTTGGGCTCCGGCAAGTTGTCCCTGGCCAATGGTCATGGTGAACCCTTGGGACTGGCCTCGCTGGCCACCCAGCCGGCTCCTCCGCTGCCAAACAGCAAGCAGAGTAGTCCCGCCAAGACACTGACCCTCATCGACAATGCCAAGCCCATCGATGCCATCGACCAGGAGGAACTGCAGGTGGAGGACCTCAAGAAGCAGTTGCGCGAGAAGGATCTCGTGCTGACGGACATACGGCTGGAGGCCCTGAGCTCGGCCTCCCAGCTGGAGAGCCTCAAGGAGATGATGAACAAGATGCGGGCGGAGATGATGTCCCTGAAGCACAACAACGAGCGACTCCAGAAACTGGTGACCACGCGATCGCTGGCTGGTTCCGAGGCCAGTTTGGGCCAGGCCATCAGTCCCAATGGATCGGTGGCTGGCAGCTCGGAGGTCTCCCGGCGATATTCCCTGGCGGATGGCAGCAATCGCCCGCCCATGGAACTGCCTGCTCGTCTCAGCGAGGAACTCGAACTGGAGGAGGAGTGCTTACCACCAGCTCCGGCACCGGAGCCACCACCACCGCCGGCTCCCAATGGCGTTGGTGTGGCCCCGCTGAGTCCCAGCACCCACATTGATCTGACGCCACCGCCTCCCGCCCTGGAGTCCGCTCCGCTGGCCAGTCCCGTTCACATGGCCAGTGCCACGGAGGAACTGGCCGATGTCTGCGATGGCAAGAAGATCGCCATCGCCTGCTATCTGGGTCAGCCGGAGGCCTTCGCCAAGTACTGCGAGGAGCTGCACGAACTGGATGGCTTCTATGCCAATGGCCACGAGGCGGATGCGCAATCCCAGAGCGAGCGGAAGTCGAACTATGCCAGCGCCAGTTGCAATGAGTTCGTCATCGCCTGCACCTACATCTCGGGCAAGACGACGTGGCAGAATCTGGACTACGTGGTGCGCAAGACCTTCAAGGACTATGTGGCTCGCATTGATCCGGGCACTAATCTGGGCCTCAACACCGACTCCATCACCTCGTACCATTTGGGGGAGGCGAAGCGGGGTCCCGAGATGGGATTCCCGGAGCTGCTGCCCTGCGGCTACATTGTGGGCAGTGTGCGAACCCTCTACATTTGCCTGCAGGGCGTGGGCAGTCTGGCCTTCGACAGCCTCATCCCGCGCAGCATCGTGCATCGGTACATCAGTCTGCTCACGGAGCACCGCCGGCTGATCCTGTGCGGACCCAGTGGCACTGGCAAGTCCTATCTGGCCCGCCGACTGGCCGAATTCCTGGTGGCCCGGGCAGCCCGAGGCAATCCCTCGGAGGCCATTGCCACGTTCAAGTGAGTTTGCATTGTGCAGTTGGTTATTTTCGGTATTTAACCCACCTCTCATCTCCCATTTCCAGCGTTGACCACAAATCCTCGAAGGATCTGCGTCAGTATCTGGGCCACATTGCCGAGCAGGCGGCCATTGCCAACGGCGCCTCGGAGCTTCCCTCTGTGATCATTCTGGACAACCTGCACCATGCCTCCGCCCTGGGCGACGTGTTCTCCTGTCTGCTGAGCGCCGGACCGGCCAACAAGCTGCCCTGCATTATTGGCACCATGTCGCAGGCAACTTGCAACACCACCAACCTGCAACTGCACCACAATTTCCGATGGGTGAGTACTGATCGGGTCTATAAAATAACTTAAAAACTAATTTAAATATCAAAAATCAATAGGTACTCACTGCCAATCACATGGAACCCGTGAAGGGCTTCCTCGGACGCTTCCTGAGACGCCGGCTCTTCCAGCTGGAGTTGCAGACGCAACATCCGCAACCGGAATTGGCAGCAGTCCTGGCTTGGTTGCCCTCCGTGTGGCAGCACATCAACCGGTTCCTGGAGGTGCACAGCTCCAGCGATGTGACCATCGGTCCGAGGCTGTTCCTCGCCTGTCCGCTGGATCTGAAGGACTCGCAGGTGTGGTTCACGGACATCTGGAACTACCACCTGTCGCCCTATCTGGTGGAGGCGGTTCGCGAGGGTGTCCAGTTGTACGGACGACGAGGTGGAGCGTGGAACGACCCCTCTGCCTTCATCCGGAACTCCTATCCCTGGCCCTACGGTCCGGATTCGGTGCCCCCATTGCGACAGATCAATGCCGAGGATGTGGGACTCGAGGGGGTGGCCTTGACCAACGGGGAGCAACAGGATCCCTTGGTAGGACATTGAATATCTATACCTATAGACCTTGACTAATAAGCTATACCTATCAACAGCTCAACATGCTGATGCGGCTGCAGGAGGCGGCCAACTACTCGGAGGCTCAGGATCAGGAATCCGATTGCGCCAGTCTGGACTCGAATGTCACGCCCGACAGTTCCGCTGGAGCCGAGTGAACAGCTATATAATCGAACCACTTCGTACATGCCAAATTTAGATGGACTAACTAAGAGGAACGCGCTGGCCGACAACTAATCAGGACTACTTTTCCCCGCACAAATGAGACTTCTTGCACTACTTTCGCGGCGAGGTTCAAAAGCAGTTCCAAGAGTTTTCCATTTGCACCATTCAACCAACCCATTTCTAACCACTCCCTCTGCCATCTAGAGTAAATTGCACTTTTTAGCGCACTTGTTAAAAATGCAAATTGTCCAAGCCCAAAAAACCTGAGATCGAAGCACTACCAATCCTTAAATCTTGGCCCGGCTGCGTTTCCAAAGCCCCAAACTTGAGAGAACTAACCTTAGCTAACATGAAATGTTAAAGAAAAGTAAATTCATAAATTGTATATATCGAACACAAAGTAAATCCCCTATGCTTAAGTGTGTGAAACTGTCCGGCGGATTAGACTTTTTATACCCTGTATCCTAGCCCACAACCGGCAGAACATATAAATTAAATGGCAACTAATACCTAACTCTATTGTAAATGTAGCTATAAGTTTTTTGCTACTACCAATTTACATGATGTATAGTTGAAGTTAAAGGAAAAAGCTTTCACTTTAGTTTAATTATTTGCGTAATTATCATTAAATATTGTTACAAACATATTGCATATTTATAAAAACCAATAAGCAAAATACCATTTAAATATTTATTATGCCTAGCCGCGCTTAAACACAGGAATACGCAAAAGTGAATACGTAATGCCCCATCCTTGATAAAATAGCTAAATTACCGACACATCAGAATCCAATCGGAAGATAAAAACATATACTACCAATACAAGCAGTAAATTATATGATACGAAAAAGCAAATTATGTGTCTCTGTCTAATTTAAATGTGTGCATTTATGAGATATGACATCAAATCAAAATAAAATATAATATCATACAAAAATTTACCCTGTTTTCTTAACATCTAATGTATTCGGATTAAATAAATTAAGTCATTATGTTAGAAATGCATCAGCAGAGCATCATGGGAGCATCATTAGTTACCATTTGAATATTGCGCCACTTTTCGATAACTTAATAAATATTTCATCCCCAGTGTACCGATTTCTTGTGCCTACAATCGATATTTGCGAAGTGACTAGTCACGGTATCCACCGGCAGCATCGATAGTATTGAATATACTGTATATCAGATCTAGTATATACAGGGTGACCGGTTAGGTTATTGCATATTTAATATTTATTGGTGCTTTGGAGATTAGCTTAAAAGTTAGAAGATTATTGTACTATATATATTTATTTTATACACTTTTGTTTATGGATCAAATTTTTTTTATATAAGAGCTGAAAATGCAACATAAATTTTCAGAACTTGTGGGATGAAATTTTTCCTGCTTAATTGGAATGCAGCAGAACCGCATAATTTAAAAATTAATTTTTAACTTTTTGGGACCTAACAAACTAAACTATGTTTAAATCTATTACTATTAAAAAATATTACTAATCAAAGAAAGGTAAACAAAGCATGCTCACAGTACTAATAAATTACAAAGTTGAAATAACTTTTTGAAGGAAAGAAATAGAAATCTGTTGTTTTTCAGCAATCCAATGCCTAAATGTTTCTTAATTGCTAAAATTTTTTCCAATTTAATTTTTATTAGCGATTTAGGGAGTATTGCCAAATTAACAATGGGCAGAATGTATAAATATGTAAATATGCAAGTAAAAAAAGCAATTGAAAACCTAAAATGATACCAAAGTTTATTTTTGATAGCCCGACGGTATATTTTATCGATAAGTCCTCGGTCACACTGATTATTTAGCAGCGAGTCGAAGTACGTAAAAGTGCAAATGAAAATTTGTTTAAATAGCGAAAATTAGATAAACGCAGTGAGCAATGGAATATAATTAGTGATAAGGGGGACTTACATCCCATGTCAAAGTTGAAAAACCTGCTGCCACAGGTTTATTAGCGGTTTTCCGACAGATTAAGCCGCCCACCGATTACACAACATCTGTAGTGGCAATGAAAAATGGGATTATTATGCAGATGTAACTCATAACAACTCATCACACGAAATTGGAAAATATACGACATGGAGAGTTACAAGATGTTCTAGACAGCCGCCGCTTTATGGAAATGGTTTTGATTACTTATCACTTATCACGTAGTCCTCCAGCTGTTACATAACCTCCAACTAACAGTTCTATAAGTCCCCTTGCAGACCCCGTGAGAAATTGGGCTTGAATAACAATGTTTGAAATTAGTTTTTGGAATATGATGTTTTTAGTTTTTGAAGTACAAGTGGGAAGTGGCAGAGACACATATCAATATACTAAGTTCTATTTGTCCCATTGCAAACGCCTTGTTAAAAACTCGTAGTTACCAATAAACTAACCAAAATCTTCATGTTCCATTGCAGATCCCGTGAGAAAATGGCCCTGAGACTAATCAACAGCGCTGTGCTCCGCCAGCTGGTTTCCCAGCTGCCGAAGAGTGCCCAGGTGGGCAGCGTTGCCGGTGTCCACACTCTGGACAAGATCGGCAAGCGGGAGATCGTTGGCTACGGCTGGAACGGCACCGCCTGCTACGCAGACCGCGTGGATTACCCCATGCCCGCCGTGCGTTTCCGTGAACCCAACAACGAGATCAACGCTCTGCGCACCAAGGAGCAGGGCGACTGGAAGAAGCTGAGCCCTCAGGAGATCAAGGCCCTGTACCGCGCCAGCTTTTGCCAGACGATCGCTGAGGTCCAGGCTGGAACCGGCGAGTGGAAACTCCACCTGGGCGTTGCCCTGCTTTTCAGTGCCGCCGCCATCTGGGTGGCCGTCCTGATGAACCTTTTCGGTGAGTGCTTGATTATAACCTTAGAGTGGTATATCTTTGCTAAACAGTTTCTTGTTTTCAGTGTACGATGAGCTGCCCGTCACCTTCGACGAGGAGCACCAGAAGGCCCAGCTGCAGCGTATCATCGATCTGGAAATGAACCCCGTCACCGGTTTGACCTCCAAGTGGGACTACGAGAACAAGAAGTGGAAGAACTAAGTCCGCTACCGTTAAATAATTCCGCTATTGTGTGTGATTAAGTTAGCCGACGTCTATGTGTATTAAGTGAAAGCAAGATAGTCGAAATTAAAGTTATGGCTGCTGCCTAAACTAAAAGATCTTGATATCAGTCATCCTTTTCTCTCCGTGAAGGTCGAAAAACCCCATAAAGAAATCCTTGTTACTGCAGTTACACAAAATCACCAAGTGGCATGATTATAAAACCTTTATTATTTCTTCAGAAATCGTATGTTTATATTTACAAACTTGCCATTATAAGGTAAGGTTTACCCAATTTAAGATTGCAACATCAAGATCTAAAATATTTAAATCTAGTGGTTCGATCGTTTTCGAGCTCTGGAACGTCTGTGTTTCGAGTCTAGAGACTTTGATTTTTTCATAATCTCATATATTACGAGATGCATAGCAAGGTAGACATCTGGGTTCTTTTCAATTTTATCTTTGAAAATTTTGTAAATTTTCAAGGCTACTGGTTTGAGCTCAGGAGTCAACTGGGATCTTTCTGCATCGGTTCTAAAAAAAAACATACAATACTCTAGCATTGCGAGAAATACAAGGATAAAGATGCAACATACATAGTTCCCCTTTCTTTCACCACCTTGATCACCTTCAGCACGGTCTCGATATCTTTAACCATCTCATGTTTTGTATGGTTATGCTCTGTTTTCTTAGTTTTCTCATGCAGAAGTACCCACTCATGGAATTCATCCTTTTCTTTTTGTGAAAGTTGTCCGTTTCTAAAAGGAAAAATGGGTTCTATAGTACAGTTTATTTAAAATTGGTAAATCCGATAGATACTTTTTTAGATCTTCTGAAGTAGGCTCTCCATGGCCTGATCTGGCTGCGGCGACTTTCTTTTCCTTTTCCGGATCGGAGTCTCGTTCATAGCTGAAGTACGTACAAAAACCCTAAGAATATGTGTCCTTGAACTCGTACTTGAACCAGTACTTACTGTTTGTACCAATCGTAACCCTCATATGGAGGTCTGTGGATATTGTGGGAACGGAGATGACGGCTTCGGTCATCCGGCCGGTGTTGCTGGTTGACTTTGCAGTCCACGCAGACGAGGAGGAATAGCAGGCATACGAGGATCGCCAAGTGATTAAGTCTTAATCCCATAGCAGTCATTTTTAGAGTGCAAGTTTTAGAGGTACGTAGAATCACAATTAAATAATTATGGAACCAATTGATTTCTAGAGACTTAGTTCCGGTTTAATCCATTGTCACGGAATAGTAAACTTAAACTTAAAATATTATACTTGCGTTCCCAGGTTTATTGCAAATATTTCGCTACAACTGAAGCTTTGTCGTACATATGATCTTGTAATAATTTGACGTATTAAGAATCTCGATTAAATTAGAGGATTATCATAGAATTCTGTAACTAATCGCCAGGTAATTATTTGAAAAGGGCAGATTATTTTTTATTGGCGAAAGTATTTTTAGTAGAAATTTAAACCACTCACTTGTAATTAAGGAAAATATTTTCACTTAGTGTTTAGTGAGTAAATGCTACTCGTTTTATTAATTATGCATTCGGAACATTTATATTGGTCAATTAATCAGTGATCCATTGATACAGATGGACTTGGTTTCCGCTTCCCATTGTTCGATGAGAACTTAAACACTTTTATACAGCTCTCTAAATGATTTTATTGACGATGATCGCGTGCAATTTCGACCTTCCCATCGTTCTAACGATAGGAACGAATAGACCGCCGCCTAATATGTTTCCCATGTCCCATTAAGAGCTTTTCCTTCTGGATATTGTGGAATCCATCGTGGGCGACAACGTGACGCACTCTTGGCATCGAAAATACAGTTTGAAGGCACAGGAGGAGGTACTAAAAAAATAAAAATTTAAATTCTCATTCAATTTCTTATAAATTGTATTTTACCAAACAGCAAAAAACCCACCGCATTGCACACACAGAACTCTAAAACTGTGGTCAGGCATCTAATTAAATTCGTCATGTTTCAACTTCTTAGTTTAGAAGAATGCACTCAACGAAATGATATATATAAAAGTATTCTAAAATTTAAAGAATAAGTTTTCTGACAATTTGTAAAATTTTTTTTATTTTATTTTAATGACGGATTTTTACGTTTTTATAATCTCTTAATGATGGATTTCTACATTTTACTGCGACAATATTTTTAATGTGCGAGTCTTTCTAGTAAACCAAAACTTAATATGTCTGGCATGCATAATGTTGTTTATTTATTTAAATATCCATAAGAAAGTAAGTCACAAAAGCAAGATTTTCAATTATACATGAGACCCGATGTGGTGAAGGCGTCGTTCCAGTGAGCCCAATTCTTCTCCGTTTTCAAATTGTGGAACCCATCGTGCGCTTTTACGTGTCGTAGACCTGGTCTATGTTTTCCTGGCTTCACAAATGGGTCACCCCCATTTTCTACACCAGGAGTATTGTCTGAAATGTCGAAGGTATCCTTGTCTGATTGAAAGGGCGCTGGCCCTTCTTCAGTGGGTTTAGTGGGCTCAGTGGAGTTAGTGGGCTCAGTGGAGTTAATGTGCTCCGTGGGTATAGTGGTTTCTTCGGTGGTGATGCCTTCTGTCACTGGAGAAGTTTCATCTACTGTTTGCACGGTTGAGGCTGACTCAGTTGCTGGGGTTTCCTGAGCTTCTAAAACGGCTGCCAAGAAAAGAGCGATTCCGACCTGAAAACAATAAGTATACTCGATTATGCGCAAAAGAGGAAATACCCCTCACCAGTTTCAGTTCAAGTTTCGCCATAACAACGTCACACCTGATGCATATACTTCTGCGAAACCAGAAGAGTCGATTGGGCAAAGCCACCTTTTATACTCGCTGCGCAGGTTAAATTGATTAGAACAGAGCGAAATTGATTGGATGGGTTGCTGCCTGATTTTACGAGCAGAACCAATGCTCGTTGCTACCAACTGATAGATGACGATTTTAAAAAAATGATGAACGCAGTCCGGGAAATTCCGGGCAGACGCACTCAACACCTGATGCCGATCGGGTTTTTGCGAGAGGCAGAGAGTGAGCTGATTGCTCTGGGGCTTGCTTAATTGTGGGCTTAACTATTTCCATAATTGTGGGCGATTCTGGGGGACTATAAAAGTCAGCTCCGACCGGCAAATGCCAAACAGTCTCGCTTAGCCCTTGCCAGCTGCACTTAATTGATTGAGATGTTCGTCAAACTCCTGCTAATCAGCCAGGTGGGTGCTAGATCTTGACCAGACCATAACAGATCACTTGAGTTATGATTTATTAATTACTTATTTATTATTCTAGCTTCTGGCGCTGAGCTACGCCCAACTGTCGCTCGATGAGGCTAAAAAACAAGTCGATGAATCGGTTTACAGCGATGAGGAGACTGGCGATGATATGAACCTGCCGGAGACCAATCAACGTCCCCAGTCCGTGCCACATCAGCCTCCCCAGTCTGTGCCACATCAGCCTCCCCAGTCCGTGCCACATCAACCTCCGCAGAAGCTGCCCCAGCCCCTTCCGCAGTACCAGCCCTATCAACCTACGCCATACCAGCCACAACGTCCCTCCCAGTACCAGCCCTATCAGCCTCAGCCCTATCAGCCTCATCAGGGACCCCAGTACGGGGGCTATTATCATGCTCCCAAGAAGGTGACGACCACCACTCCTCAGCCGGAAACCACCACCCCCAAATTGGAGCAGGAAGGTGAGGGCACCGTTGCTCCGGATGACGGCTTGGATCAGCTCGGCGACGACTTGCAGCAAGACAACGATGGATCTGCTCTCCCCGAGTCGACCACCACTCCTGAACCGACCACCACCACCACCACCACTACCACCACAACTACGACCACGACGACGCCGAAGCCCACGACTACTCCTGAGCCAACTACGACTCCTGAGCCAACAACTACTCCAGAGCCTACGACGACTAAGAAGCCCCATAAGCACGAACCACATGGCTATTCCCATCCTCACCCATTCCCTCAGCCATACCCTCGTCCGGTCCAGTATCCCTATCCATCCCCCTATCCTGGATTAGTGATCACTCCTGAGGGACCTAAGATTGCACCACCATCGGGCACCCCACCCACAAAGGACACCCCCGAACCGAGTGTATACCCCGGATATCCGACCTTCAGATCGCCCTACGGCTCCTATCAGCCACCTGTCTTCCACCAGCCACGTAATTATCCCAGCTTCCAAGGATACGGTCCTCGTCCTGGCTTTGGATACCCTCACAATCACGAGGATGACTCCGGAGAGGATAAGACCAAGGACAAGTCCGGCGAAGGCGATAAGGAGGAGGATGTGCCACTGAAGCCACCAGGATATGGCTATCCCCAGGTCTACCTCGTTCCCCGAAGACCAGTGATCACTGTACCCAGCTATCCGCGTCCTGGTGGCGGATACGGTTCGTCCTACGGCTATGGAGGCTACTAAATACTCTCCACTGAACACTGTGAAATTCACCTTTAGTCAAATCATTGTTGAATTAATATTAATTCATTCTTTAAATGTACTTCCTAACATATTATTAAATACTCTTTAAATTATAAATTCTTGATTTTTTCTTTTCTTGTACTTATCTTAAAATTTTTTAAACCATTTAAATATCTCAAATTTGGATTTAGATGTTGATCTTATTTTCAAATGAAACGCTTTCGTTTCTCATACAGTGTGATCATTCAAGGTTTAAGTGTTCGCATTATAGTTTGTTTTAACTTTTCAGTGAACTTTCGTCGATTTGACTCCCAGTATTTCGTATGTTAGTTGCAAGATTAGATTCGGAAAAATGATTATTGCTAATTTGCGCATATGATCAAGCTTATTGGTTTCTGATTTCCTTGTCGTGTATTCCCCGGGCTGATAACCCCGGGCCCCGGGTCTCTCACCTTGGTGTTTTCCAGTTGGACGGGTTGAGATTGTCGGTGCATTTAATTGCAGCGCATTCCACCCAGACAACTCATAGTTCTGTCGATCGTCGGAAGTTCTAGACGTAAGTAGCTGTCGAGATCTGCGAGATGTTGCCGCTGCAGTTCGTTCTATTTGGCTGTCTGTTCATTGCCCAGGGGGTGAGTAAAGATTGGTCACATCTAGAATTCTCACTTCAATGCCTCTGGAATCTTTCAGCTTTGCCACACGTTGCCAGAGCTCAAGGTGAGTTGATTTGACCTCGAATATAGAGTCATATGTAAGCGTAATGTTTCATAATTCCAGGTGAGAACTGCACGCGATACCTCCAATATACCCACGCATTTGTTCAAACCCGTGGGCAGAAGCTCAAACAATGACAAGGTTAATGAAAGATCTTCTTTTATTAATTCAAATGGCACAACGCTAAGTGAGCCCGAGACAGATGATGAAGGAATTCAGTTTCTAGAGGTGAGATTAACTCTGAGTTACAAAGTACTACATTTATTTTTTATTATATTTTTACTTTATTAAATCCATATTTATTATCATTAAAGAGAGCTAGCGGAGAAGTGGAAGAAGTGACCAGCTCATATGAAGACGAAGACGTCCGTCCCCGTCCATTTCAACGACCTCAACCGCGACCATATTATCCCCAAAACTCGCCAAGGAATAATGGTTTTCCCATTCAAAATGTAAGTGTGATTATTAGACAGTAGAACTCATTAATTAATGAACCAACTTCTTTAGTCACCCAATGGATTCCAACCGGATTACAGTCAAGACCCCAGTGGACGATTTCGTGGTGGCAATGGCTTCAACAGCAGACCCTTTCCAAGTTCACCGAATTTCGGGAGCAGAAACATTGGGCCCTTTCCGGAACCGGAATTCGGTGGCCAAAACACGCCTACGTGGGTATCTAGACCGGTGAGTACTACATACATATTTTATTTCCATCTTTCTTACCACTTATTGTCTCCTTTTAAGATACCTGTACCACTAAGTAGCTCCATGATCCCTTTATTTTCTGGAGGTAGTTCTAACTTTGGTCAAAGTGGTCCCATTGGACCCATTGGTCCCATTGGTAAAGGTCGACCCATTGGACCCATTGGCTCTGGAAGCTCTTCGAACAACTTCTTTCGCACGGAGTCATACAGCTACAGCTCAGATGGCAGAGGACCTCCGCAGATCGAGCGGGATGTCTACGATTCCCGAGATGGATTGGGAGCTTCTTTCCGTAATTTTTAATCAACATGTTGCCAAATAGCCTTCTGAAATAATCTGTAAAATATAAATCGTAGTTCGTAATAGAAACGATCGGACTTTTCTCTTTCCGCATCTTGCTGATAAGTATTGATTTTCGATTTCCAGTAAAACTAGTTGCTGACGCTTGAGATTAGCAATGCAATTTTTTATTTATATGTCTGTTGTTAAAGGTTTTTACAACTAGAATTAGCAAAAGATCTTAGAACAACAATTTTTGTTTCGGATTTCAATTTTGCCTTAAAAAAATGGTAAAACAAACCTATGGAATACAGAAATCAGTCAATCAAAGAAGATATTTAAATAGGTTTTATGTATGAATGGATTTTAAAATTAAATTGTTCTATTACTACACAGATATCCAGTTTTGGTAGGGTTAAAGGACTTTGCAAATTAGTGAAAAGCAGACAGTGCTATTAAAAATAATTCCTCATTTCTTACGTCATCCCCACACTAAGTTGTAAACAAAAACAAGCCAGTGCAATAAATAGTTCGTAGTCGTGAGATCGGCATCAAATTATAATCAGTCTTAAGCCAGCGGCGAGCATGATAATACAAATGATGCCCTCTGGATTACTCGTCTTTGCATTTGCATTGTCGGTAGGTGTAAGTCATGAATTGTGTAATTATTCAGACTAATAATTGTCATCCGCAGTTGGCATCTGCATCGCCGAAGGGCGATAGTCTCCTGGAATTACGCAAGTTGATGAGGCAGCAGGATGAGAGCTCCAGCATTGCCGCCACTGAGCAGTTCAACAAGGACATTGCCGATTGGGCGAAGGGACTGGAGCAGTTGGGTCTGGATATGGCCGAATTTGTGGAGAAATGCCGACTCCCTGGAAGTCATTGCCAGCAGCGGCGTGTCCTGCGGCAGCTGCGAGTCCTTCGACGTGGCTACACGGATCTGAGAGCCCGCCTCGAGGCCCTGGAGGTAAAATACGTGGACCGGGTTTCTGATCAAAACGCTATGGATGACTCACTCCGTAAGACCAAGAATGTACTCAAACAGTACGATGAGGCTTTCAAAACTATTAATACTAAAACCTATAAATTGGTCGATCAGTAGGATGACTTTTAATCAAGATTAATAAGTAATAACAGGTTTACGATACTATTTTATAAGAAAATAAAACATCCATTAAAAATGAAATAATTGAATAATTTATTTGCATTAATAACCAAGTGTGTTATTAAATAGCTAGTAGTATATAGTTATAATATATAAACAAATCATGCAGATAACATACTTTATTGGCTTAAAAACACATTTTAAAATAAATAAAAAAATCTATCTTAAAAATTTTTAAAGATTTTTATTAAAACTTAGCCAAAGGAATAACAGTTTTTGGCATCTTCGAATTTTCTCGTTATCGAACGAAATCAGAATTTGACAACTTTTCCAATTTCTCAAAGACATCCTTCTCGTTCTTAAAGTCATTGAACTGCTTAACTAATTCCGAATTTCTGGCCAGCCTACTGTCAGACCATGTACTCAAATAGTTTTCCACCTTCCGCTCGATTGATTTTAAAGTAGTTTCTAAATTGCTTTCCAGAATCTTTTCCAAGTCTTCAACGCCATGTTGTATGAATAATTGAACGACAACCTCGTCCGCCTCAGATTCGAATTCTTTGCTGTCTGCGCTTTCTATTATATATTCCAATTCTTCGAGAGCTTCCTCCAAGTTGCTCAACTCCAAAGAATCATCGAAATTCAGCGAATCCAAGACCGAAACAAATTCCTTAAGCTCCGTGAGAATGAGACTTTTTGAGTTCGGAGGTAAAATAAGTTCGGCCTCGTCGATGACCAGTTGAAAAACATTTCTCAACTCTTCCAATGAGTCTGTTACCAGTTGAAAGAGTTCATTGGTCACTTCGAATTGTAACTGCCATCTGTTTGCCGGAGGAGCTGCGAACTGCAATGAAGTAAAACTTTAGTCTCAAGGAATATTTTGTTTCAAAGGGAAATTACCGATGACTGCAGAGCAGCCAATGTGAATAGGAAAGTCCAAGCTTTTCTGTTAGCCATTGTCTCCAAACTGTAGCTTACTTCACCTAAACAGATCCCTTTTATATAAACTCATAAATTCACAAAGTTGTGAAAAAAAAAAACGAGAACGCCCCTATAATAAATATCCAGTGATCGTGAGATCGGCAGTAGACTGTAATCAGTCTTTGGTATTTGGTGAGCGTGATAAGAACGTTTAGACAAATTTTATATTTTGTTTTCAACTTCGGAAGTAACCATATATTTCGTAATTATATAGTCGTATATTTTTCAGGTCACGTTTATATCTTTATTGACCTTAGGTGATATTTTCCGAGTATTATGCAAGTTGATTAGAAAGCAGGATAATTCAGACATTAAACTAGTGAAACTTGAGTATGAAAACTAAAATTAATCTTTAAACAACACATTAAAGAAATCAAAAATTGTTTCCAGTTTCAATATAAATTAAACGATAATTATTAGAAATTAACAAAAAGAAATGATCGTAATCAGACGGGAAGTAATGGAAGTCGATAACTTAGGTCATCAGCCTTATTAAACAGCGCATTGTTATTAAAACACTCCTAAAACTGGAAAAACATGGACGTCTTAAGTATTTTCTCTTTATTATTACTTATTAGTTGCATAAATGCATACAAATATGGACAGAAATGTAACTTGTAATTTTGAATGAGTTTGTCTTAATGTTTTTATATATTTAGGTTTGCATATTACGAATTATACTATAAATTCGACCAAATACCCCTGGCCAAGCCCTGCAATAAAGCCTGGGCCAACTTGGTGTACTCCATCAGATGGATTTCGGGAAGTTGGCCCTGCAGGTTTTGAGGGAATTCCAGATAGGACATGATCAGGCTGTCGTCGGTTTCGGTGTTCCATCGTGTGATGTTGGCAATCAATTGCGGCCTTTCCTGCCGACTTTGGCGTAGATACTTGCTCAGATGTGTCTTGACTTTGCCAAAGAAGTTCCGAATAGCAATCTTCTCGACCGGCAGGACTTCGTCTAGCAGCTTATCCGGAGTTTTGTGGGACATCAAATCGCTGTTGATCCAGGCGAAGATGTAGTAGGCAGTGCTGTAGTAGTCTTCGTTTCCCGCAATCAAGTCCAGTTCCTCGAAGTACTGCCTATCGATGACTTCGCTGCTGTTCAGGTGCGGAAGTCTTTGGCGGGCATCCTCAATGGTAGAGTATAAAACCTGATTGAAGAGCCTTTCCACTGCCTGAATTGTGGGGCCAGCCAAGGCGGAAGATCTGTCTGGGATTTGGGCGGAATCAGCCAGAGTCTGGGAATCGAAAAACCAATAAATGCACTGTGTAATCAACTTGAACCGACTCACCATACTGATAAGACCATAGCCGAGGGCCCAGGCCCAAGTGATGCCGATAAGAAGCCTCGAACTGCGCTCTGATCTCGCCATGCTTCCGTGATCGCTGCTCGATGGAGACTGATCCCCCAGAGCAAAGACCCCTGCCCAAACAATCTGTGGCCGGGTTTAGGTTTAGTTTGTTTTATTAAGCGCAAGTAGAAAATATCTCAAGTATTGTTTGTATATTCGAATTTCGTAGAGTGAGCAAATTAATGGCCATTAATGTTCGTTCGTGTACGATTACCTAATTAAGCTAACTCGAAAAAAGATGCCGTTTTGCCGAATGGTAGTTACAATTTGCATACACACACATATAACATTAACAATTAGATTTTTAAATTACAAACCTAAGCATATACTTAAGTTATTTGCTTCCTACTGCATTTCCCAGTAGAATCTGTATATTGATTGAGACTTTATATTCATATTCAGCATTTGTAAATTGGCTTATAATTCAAACGAATAAGATCTGGAGCCTTTTCATTTTCTTAATAATTTGTAGAAATAATGTTTCTTATTTAATGTATTAATATATCTCTTAACCGTAAAAAAAGCGAAATAATACCCCTGTCATGCGGAGAGAATTTTAATTTCCCAGAGCTTCATAAATTAAAAGGGCAATTTTTTATATCTTTAAGATGAGTAAATTAAATTTATGTCGATCTTCTGAAAGGTAAAATAATAGAAAAAAATATTTACAACGAGTTACTATCATTAAAGGTAATGGAGTGTTTGGCATGTAGATAAATGTTTTTATAACTAATTTATTTTATTTTTAACATCTGCAATAATTACTTATTTATCAATGTTACTACATTTATATTCAGAATAACACGCTTTACCCTCGATTCTTGACAAATACATGTTATATGCATTTGCCACAACCGGCTTAAAATAATTTAATTCGTTCCAAATTGACTCGGATATTTAAGATGTTTAAGTTACCAATTACTTATATCTGATTCTACAGCATTTATTAACATTACGTATGCATACACTTTAGTACATTTCTGGAAACTTTATCTTTTTAACAATTTAAATCTGCATTTGGAAGTAACACACGCAAGTAGGTACATTTTGTTGCTATAGGACATGCACTGAAACACCGAGTTGCACATTGATATTATTTGATATATGTATTTCCGAGTATATAGCTTTGTTGTGTTACAGCTGTCCAAGCATTGTACTAATTTGGCTTTCAAATATTTGTATTTTTCATAATTGAGACCTGATAGCAGCCATTGTCAAAGTTCACACCAAAGTAGATTATAACTAATTGTCTAATACTTTTAATACATTATCTTTACAATTATTTTACGAGTTTTCAAGGTACATCTGACATTTAGGACATTGGGGTCACTAGGACCCCAATAGTCGATAACAAGTTACAAAATAATCTTCATAAAATGCAAAAATTAAATGTGTCTTTTTCTTTCTCTTATGCTAATTAAAGTTATTAAATATTTTAAAAATAGCTAGTAATAGTTAGTAAGAAAATATACTCATATATATTTATGATCAATTGTAAATTCTGTTATCTAGAAGACAGTCCATGGAGTAGAGCTTACAGCTAGGTTGAATATAAATAGCGAAATATGTTTTAATGTATTTAGTTGTATAGTTTTCAACAGCATCCAGAAATTCTTGAATGCCTTAAATGTGTATATAGTGGAACGATTGAAAGAAGCTCTTAAATGTTACGGAAAATATAATATTAGTAAGTAACATCTTGCTTATAAATATGTGTTTATTCTTAACTATTTTTTTAGTAATACCTTGAGTAAATTTTTGTAATATCCATTCTAGCCTATTTTCACCAACAATTCTGGGACTGACTGGAGCTACTCACCATTTCACTTCTGGGTTTTGGAAATATTGTCCTCAAGTACGCTTTCCGTTTATGTGTAATATATGTGACTTACGGTTTTTAACCACATGCTTGCGAAATTTTTCATACGCTTTTTGTTAAGTTTAGAAAAAATCATAGACAGAAATAAGTTTAAAAAATTATTTATTTGTTTGTGAAATTATGTGTAATGTTAAGTCGAAATGCAGTTCCGTTTTGTAAAACTAAAGCTAAACTTAAGTAAATGCAAAGTTTACGAAAAACTAAGCTCAGGATAATTGTCAAGGAAACAAATGTTACAAAAGAGAATCATGTTAAAGCAACTAAAGTGGACAGTAGAGTACAGTACAGAGACGGAGGAAGGGAATGCCTTTACTTTTTATCACAATTGCGTATGAAAAATTTCTTTAATTGCTAGAAGCCGCCACGCCCACCGCCGCCCCCGCTGCTGGAACTGGCCAATCCCGCCGTCGATTGGCGGGGCACCAGGATGCGGGGCAAGGTCAGTGACCTCTTGGGAAATCCATGTCTGCCAGCCTGCGGCTCTTGGGCGGCGGAGGTCGAGGTCATTGGCTCCGCACTCTCCCGCCGCGGACGAGGTGCCCCCGCAGTCGCAGTCGCCGGCGAAGCCCCCGCCTCCGGATGACCTTTCACCTCCGCATCCTTCTCCTCCGCCGCTGACCTCTTCTGGGAGTCGCCCTCGTCCGGTCGCTGCAACTGTCACGCATACGACTGCGCCGTCTGCGGCATCATGCCTCCGGAATATCCGCCATCCAGACCCGGCGGACGCTCCACCAGGTTCTTGAGTCGCCCCCGCAACTCCTCCAGACTCTTCGACTTCGCCTTGTTGATGCGCTTGTACTTCACGTCCTTCGGTTTCGTCACCGACCGGTGGTTCAGCATAACCCGATTGTAGTTGGTTACCTGGAAACAAATGTTCAAATTAGCAGACATATTTAAGTTATAAAATAAACTAAAACAAGAGAGAACGCTATAGTCGGGTGCCCCGACTATCAGATACCCGTTACTCAGGTAAAGGGAGTGCGAGGGAGATGGAGATAGAAACTTTGATCACGCATAACTTTTTAACGAATGGTCCGATTTGAAAAATTTCTTCTACATTTCGATAGGTATTGATAAACACAATAAAATTGCATTTTTACTTTTCCGAAATATTTAAATGTATCGTATATAAGCGATTGTGGGCGTTAAAGGGGGCGTGGCACCTTTTTTGAAACAAACTTGCGCTGCGTAGGAACTCCTAGAATCTGCATGCAAAATGCCAATCTTCTAGCTTTTATAGTTTCCGAGATCTCAGCGTTCATACGGACGGACAGACAGACGGACAGACGGACAGACGGACATGGCTATATCGACTCGGCTAGTGACCCTGATCAAGAATATATATACTTTATAGGGTCGGAAACGCTTCCTTCTAGCTGTTACATACTTTTGCACGAATACAATATACCCTTTTACTCTACGAGTAACGGGTATAAATATATAAGATAAAATTCACATTTAAAAATAATATATTAGGTTTGCTGATTTGACAAAAGAAGTGGTGTAAAGTTTCATTCACCAATTTGAGAGAATTGTTCTGCCACATTTAGCAGCGTCAAGGAACATTTAAAGGTCTTCCCTTAAAATAAAATAAATATCTTTAAATATCTTTTACATCCGATAAAATGGTGTAATCTATACACCAAAAAAAATATATCTGATATAACTAATGACAAATCATTTTATAGAGACTCGCATTATAAACTGAGGCCACTTGAACTTCAGTTTCCATTACCTGGTTCTTTCCGTTGAGCGGTTCCTGCGGTCCAGATGTCGACGGCGGCGGAGGAGATGGTGGCTGGAGCTGGGGCACCTTCACACTGAGCGTGGTGCAGGGTGAGTCGTGGCTGGGCGATCTCTTGAGGGCTCCCAGCTGGCGACGTGGAATGGTGGGTCCGCCGTCGACGGGCGATGACTCTTTGGCTTTGTCGGCGACCGAGGGACTGGCGGCGTCTATCTGACCCTCGGTGGAGCTGGAGCTGAGTGCCTTGTCCGAGCGGTTCTTGAACTTGTCCCGCTTCTCGGCCACGTCCGTGGTGGGTTCGGGATCCTCCTCGACGGAGTAGACCGTTTCCAGGATGTCCGGACGCCGCAGGAAGCAGTTGTTCCGCCTGGCTGCTCCGTACTTGTTGTGATTCGTTTCGATCGCATCGGATATGGAGCGCACTATGGTGATGCCATCGCTGCCCAGCACTCCGCCACCCAATCCTCCAGTGCCACTGCTCTTCCTCCGCGTGCCTAAGGTCATCGGGCTGTCCGAATCGATGTCCTCCAGGACCACCGCCGAATCGGAGTCGTTCAGCGAGTCCAGTTCGTTGGCGTAGCTAGCCTCAATGGTCTCCAGGCCGTGATCCACCAGACGCGAGGACAACGTGTCGATGATCTTCTGCTGCCGCTGGATAGTCAGTTCCCGGTGGTTCAACAGACTGGCGATCTGCTTCTGCTTCCGCTTCAGTCGGGATTCCAGCAGCAGCAGCTGCGAGGTGAGCGAGTTCATCTGGTCCGACTTCTCCTTTTGATATCGGTAGTGCTGCTGCACCTGCATGGTGAAATTCAAGGATAGGTTGTATATATTATATGTTTCACAATATTATAATTTATGTATTTTTTTATATCCTCGCCCATAACTTTTCTTACAGACATCCGATTTCAAAAAGAAATACTTCTAAATGATTGTGGATAAATTCTCTAAAAATCTGTGTTCAAATCTTGGTTTATTTTTTTTTGGTCAATTTTTCGTCATTTTTAATGATGTTACCCCTTTCCAAAATGTCGAAAAATGGCTTTGCAGAAAAGTGTCAAAAAACTGCACTTCAAAGCCCATAACTTTTCTTACAGTTATCAAATTTCAAAAAGGCATACTTCTAAATGATTGTGGGTAAGTGCTCTAAAAATCTGTGTTCAAATCTTGGTTTATTTTTTTTGGTCGATTTTTCGTCATTTTTAATGATGTTACCCCTTTCCAAAATGTCGAAAAATGGCTTTGCAGAAAAGTGTCAAAATACTGCACATCTAAGCCCATAACTTTTCTTACAGACATCCGATTTCAAAAAGAAATACTTCTAAATGATTGTAGATAAATGCTCTAAAAATCTATGTTCAAATCTTGGTTTATTTTTTTTGGTCGATTTTTCGTCATTTTTAATGATGTTACCCCTTTCCAAAATGTCGAAAAATGGCTTTGCAGAAAAGTGTCAAAAAACTGCACTTCAAAGCCCATAACTTTTCTTACAGTCATCTGATTTCAAAAAGGGATACTTCTAAATGATTGTGGGTAAATGCTCTAAAAATCTGTGTTCAAATCTGGGATAACATTTTTGGGTCGATTTTGCGTCATGTTTTTTTTCTACCAATAGACTAAGGATCGGTATAATATGGAAGTACTTGACATAAGTACCCAACATATTTGTCTTTATAGTGTTTAATTTTGAATTTAAAATTTAAAAAATAAATATTTTTAAAAATGTTACTGGCTTAAAGGTAAAACCAATGTTGCTTAGCTAATCACCTGCATGGCATACGCCTTGCGCCACTTCATGATGTGCTCCGTCTGGAATCGCACCTTGGAGCGCAGCTCCTCGATGATGGCCCTGGCCGTGTGGAGGTCCTTGGGATCCTGGTTCATCATGTTCAGGCGCAAGTTGCTGGTGTGTATCGAAACGGGAACGGGCGGTGGCCATTGGAATTCCAGCGGTGGCTGGTTGACATCCGTTGGCAGAGAGCCCCTCGGCTGGGCGGTCTTGGTGGCTTTCGGCGTGGAAGGAACGGTGCCGGCTCCACTGGGTCCACCACCACCACATCCTCCTCCTCGACCCAGTGGCTCTGCGCCCATGACAGTGCCGGGATCCACCGATTGCGGAGCCTGAGGAGACTGCTTCTGTATGCTGCACGCCATGCTGCTGATGGTTTTGGCAAATTGTGTGGCCCGACCGGCATACATTTGGCCGAGATATATGCACACGATGTGTCCGTAGAATATATCGCTTTCCTTTCCCGCCCGATGTGTGTGCTCACGCCGGGGCTATCTGCCCGGCCAGCATGCAAAATCCGGCTGCTCCTCAATAAATGGATGTGCACTGGCCCGGACCCGAGAACGTGTTGCCTGCAAGGATACACAAGTGTTTTATTAATAGTCAATATTTACCCTTCGAGTGGAATGAAAAACAGCAACTAATGGAAGAAGAAATCTCCTGCACATATTTACTTAAACCGAAGCCTTTTTGAGTGAATTCTTAAGCAATGTATTGTCCAGTGTGCGATTTATTCATTTGTATTCGAATAATTTCCCTGGGTTTGGAGGGAAAATTATATTTTACACCCGGGAGCTTGGTCGAAAAACTGAAATTACGCATTCGCCCCGTGGGCGCAGATGCGACAGCTGCCACAATGCAAATTCCATTACAATGCCAGTCAGAGAGCAGAACAGAGAATGACATTATGCACACAATGAATTACATTAAGCTATCATTAAAATTAAATTCGGGAAATATTATGCATACCGCCCACTTTTCACTCCTTTAAGCAATTATAATTAGTGTTTTATATACGCGTTCTGATTGGAATATATTACCCACTGGCCCAATGAAAGCAAAATGCAAAACTGACCGTAAAATTTAGCAACCACAGGTTTGGTTTGGCCCACAGATAAGAGTCGGGAATCCTTTTATTAGTTTCTCTTTTTCGAGGGGGGCTGACGTAAGGTCGAAAATTTATGAGATTATGACTACTGTGGCGTTTTCAGATAACCTGATTAGCTGGACAGGCAATAAGGATGATGTAATTTGTACTGAATTTGCTGAGGTGGAAAGAAAAAAAGCTTTTGTGTGGGAGTGGTATAAATCAAACATTTTAATATGCCTAATAACTTCCCTGAATAGGCAATTAATGCTTTGATTCAGGATAAGAATTATGTAATTAACCTACTACAACTACAATTTAAATTGCTTAAGCAGCGGACCAAAGTGCATTCCAGAGCTTAGAGCTCTAATGAATTTCGCAGAAGAGGTTCCACTCGCTGCGCTTCTAAAGCCCAGACACATTGAAATTATCCATATAATCTGTTCCGTATCTTGGCCAAGAACAAAAAGAAGAACGCAAGTCAGGAAAACGGAAAGAGAAAGACAACAAAAGCCACAGATGCCGAGAAAGACCAACAAGCATGACCCACATTTTTAACATTTTCATTTAAAATGTCTTTCAGCTTTAATTTGTGCAATTCATCAGCGGAGCCAAGAAGTCACAACGCGAATTAGCTCGACTTCAGTTGAGGAACTTGAGTGACTTGAGAACTTCCGTTTCCACTGGCTTAAGGAATGCTGTTTGGCTAAGAACATGCAATTGAAAACTATTAACAAAAATGCCAGACACGCAATCTTCAGTCGCATCCTCTTCAATGATACCAAATGCCCCGATTGCCGACTCATTCATCACTTTTAATTATGACAATGGGATGTCTACAAGTTCTCACAGTGGACTCATAATTGAATGCTGCTCACCTGTCCCCATTTGGACATTCGATTTATGACCTCTTTTGGCAAGCTGATCTACAAATTGATGTTCATTTGGCCCACTCTACTGAGTTAAATAAGGAGCTAGTAGATTGAAACTCTGACTCACATGACATCAATTAGACAAGTGTCAGGACTCAAGGCATGTCCGAGAATTCACTTAATAATGTTCATGAGTGCACTAAATTGAATTAAAAAGACAGCCAAGGCTAGGAATCTTAAAAGCTTGAATATTGTATTACTTAAAAACATAAATCGATTATTATTTGTAGCTTACTGCGATAAATGTTGCTCTTAAAATAAAAGTTCTTATATATTTGTCTGTCATTTCATTTAATAGAAGTTTATTTAAATGAGTAAACGGTATTGCCTGATAGGCCAAATTTTTTATCAGCAAGATTATAAAATTGTAGCAAAGTGTGGTTAACTTTATCTTTTATCTAATCAAAATTCGAATAGTCTAACCTAATTAGAGATATCATTAATTGACTGTATTATCTATTTAGCATGTTAACTCATCCCCGTTTTTGACAGTGTCTTGCAATCAAATTTCCTTGCTCTGCACGAGAAATTTCTGGAATGTATCGAATCTTTGCGGTTTTTCAATGAAATTCAATTATGACAATCAATTTTAGCCCAGAGTCATATTCGATTACCACAATCAACCGGTAAATTGAATCCACAAGCGGACAGTTCAAGTTTGACACCTGACCCCCTTGGCGAAATGCGAATGCCAGATGGACATGGCCTTGCATCCTGTCGGGCTATTTTGGGTAAGCCAACGTGAGGGAACTGAGAAATTCATGGGGTTTTCGTTGGCCAGACAGTTGCCGTATAATGTTTGCGGTCGAGGGGTAATTAATTATGCCAGTCCTTTGGCTGTGCTCCGTTTCTCGTGCGTATTGCAGAGACCTGAGACCTGTGTTTATGTGATGAACGTGATTTTTACACAGTTTTTACAGTTCGTAGCGAGGCAGCTGAACGGCAAACAGGCAAATAAAGTGGCCCCAACGACAGCGATGGTAAATAACCCTCACATCCACAACCCCCATGTCGGTAAGTTCCACAAACACATGCTGGGCTTTTGTCCAGCTTTTGGCCCTGAAAGGCTGGCTGCTCTTCGACTGTTTGTTTTGCCTTGACCAAGACCCCCAAAACATGAAAGGACACTGTTAATGATGTTAAACGTCATCGCAGCCCTTCAGCACATACATAATGCCCCCCCCTTGTTGATGTTTCATTGGGTAGTTACCTCCCTGATAAGTAGACTCCATACTTATTCCTTTAAAACTAGTTTTGAGTTGCTAAATTGGAGCAGATGTTTAAGGAACGGGTCTTTATTAGTTCAACACCTCATTTCACTTACGCAAAATTATGTTCTTTGAAGGTCTCCCGGGAATAAAGTTTATAAGATATGTTACTCCACTGAAAAAATGAATATAGAAAATTTAAAAGAATTTTGGCAATTTAAATAAGTTACAAAATTAACAATATTATTTTAATAGAATGCCAGGAGTGCAAGTAAGCTAAAAGAAATGTAGTAATTTTATCTTATAGCTCTACATTTTGTGTTTCAATTAAACACAAACACCAAGCTATAAATCTTTAAGTGTATAAATTATCCAACAATTTGCAGGTGTATTTTCATACACTGTTGCCCTCGAACTTTAGCAGCTAACTTACATGCCGCAAAAGTTTACTTTGTAAGGGAAATTGAGGGTCTTCTGCGCTATTTCTTGGCATGGACTTCAATAAATTCCGAGCCATTTGCCTGGAATTGTCTTATTGTGTTTTTCTAGAAATAACTATTGCAGGAGGGCTGTGAATTTTCGGGGACTGGGACAGGTGGACAGAATACAGAGTCCTGTGAATTGGGGAAAAAAACTTTCACTGTCCCCCATTTTCTACTTTTATTGGTGAAACGTGACCGTAATAAGCCGTTTCACACGCAAATTTTCCCAGCCCAAAGTGTTTCCCCAACGAAACGCGAAAGTGCATTAAATATTTATCCAATCAATAAAGCATATTTCGCTGGCTGTCCTCCTCCATTACTTTTTTTACCCCGGCTGCTTTCATTCCTCTTGAATTACCTGCACCACAGGATGTCGAGATGACTGGCATTATTTTCCTGTGCGCATTTTTGCCGCCCTTTATTATTTGCAATCTGAAGTTTTTCGCTTGATGCTTGTTTACTTTATATTCCTTTTGTTTGCCACACATTTTTATCGCACTCTTCCCCATGGAACGCCACAACGCCTCGTCAGCTTATCTCTTATCACTTTCGGGCCTCTGAGTAAGAGGAATTTTTGAATAATTTACTGCGACTGGTACAAAATTTATCAAGTCCCACATGTTGCTTGTTAGCCGCTGTTCTGTTTGTCTTTGTTGTTTGTTTGTTTGCCCGCTGTTCACATTATGCGTGAGTAGCTAAAATTGATTTGATTTACCCAACTTCCTGCAGCCACTCACTTTCGGTTTAAATCTGACTTTTATAGCGTCGATTCAAGTTCGGCAAAGTTGTAACACGAAGCCTTAAACTGGAAACTCCTGCAAGCTGCATCGACTCATGTTCAATTTAACACTGGCAAAGCTGCTTTTAGTCAATCGACCATTAAGTGAGTTGTTTCAGACATTGCCCCATCCTGTAGGTTAATCGCTTTTACCGGTTCTTTTCCTCATTTATTCCACATAATCGCGCTTAATGCTCAGCATTAATTAAATGGCTTCGAGCTCGCATTACCCTGCACGGCAAACGCGCAGGACACTGCAGGATATGTATATATATATAGAGGTATGAACATAATTTGCGTTAACTACAAAACATTATATTATGAAAAGAAGACTTTAATAGGTTCTAATGAGGCTGGCTCTTATGGTACCCACTTGATAAAAGCCTTATTTAAGTGCTGTAGTTTTTGAAATTTACTGTGTTCCAAAGTTTACCTTTAAAAAAATATTTTCCTATTTTTTGCCTTCTAAATACTTAAGGAAATACCTCTTTGAAACTGTGAGTTGTTAAACAATTTGGAAAAAAATGGTCTTTAAATATCAAAAAAGGATATATAATTATACAAATTTAAATACTAAAATCAACTGGCAATATTTTTTAAAAATATTAGATCAAACCAAATAACAAATATAGAATTTTTCAAATAATATTTATATTCAACACTCAATTTTCAGGATAAGTACCATAGTGTGTGCCAAATGAAGCGCAGCGATGTCAAAGTTAAATGACTGTAAGCTTACTCCGTAATCATGGAATGGCATTTCACTCTTGGATAGTTTCCCATAGTTGCCCACCAGAGTAACTAAAGCCTGCTGTTTAACAGCACCCTCATTTTGGCTCTATCTGAATCCCGTCTCACTTTACTGTTTGTAGGTTGGCTATCTGAACCAGCTGTTGCCATTTTATGGCATTTTAATTAAATTTTAATAACAAGGGAGCTGAGAAACTAAAAGCTAACGGAGTCCATAATTATACATCTATTAGAGTGGGCTGTAAAATAAGCTTACAAGTTATAATTAAAATAAATTATTTATTCAATATCCTTTAAATATTACACTTATTAATGGGAAGCGTTGAGATAATAGC